TTAAGTGGTAACTAACTACTAATGCTATTCGTACAGGTCACAATGTGCTCTACCACCAGCAATATTCAAATAAGGCTGCTGCCCGTTTTCCTTTGAGTCTCCTAATCGCCATTTATATCACACAAGGGAAGAGATGTGATACTTCAATTCAACCTTAAATATAATCTCAAGCTCTGAACCACAAAAACTTTCATTGCAAGCCGCACTAGTCTGTTCATAGAGTCCTTTATACATTGAAATCCCCTGGAAATTGTTTATTGTTATTGTAATTTTGTAAATCGAACTTATTAAAACAAATGTTCTTGTAATTATTATACATTTTAAATTAATACATGTTTATCATAAAAAAAACTATGAATGAGGATTTTTTGCGGAAAAAACAACAAATAACCTACATATGTATACATACGTGCGAGTGTATTATATTAGGTACTTACCTATTATATGTATAATAAAAGAAAAAGAGAGATGTTCAACCGGTTATACCGGACAGGCGGACGTTTGTCGTTCAGAGCTTGTGTTGTACATATATTAAACATACAAAATTAGCTTACTATAATATTAATAATACAAGATTATCTTAACATTGTCGTAATGCGATTCATGTTGATATCGGGTTTCTTCTTTGATCGTCAGATTATAGTTGTATTCTTATAGCACGCAACGCTACGTTTTCAAAAAAACAAAATGAGCATTAATTTACTTGTCAAATACTTTTCATAAAATCAGATTATCATTCTCTAATTTTATTATGTATTTTATTCCGTAAAATCCACCGCCGCCTACAAGAAATCTCTATCAGCTGCCCAATTTAAATCGATTAAATAAGTCCATTGAATGATGCAATAATGTATTAATATCAAAAACGTCGCTATACCAAAATATTCTCTGATGTAATTAGATAAGAGTCAAACTCCTATAAAATGCTTTAAAATTTTATCAACCCTAAACACATAATCCACGTTTTAACCCAAACATAAATGCGTCCCAAGAAGGCCTCACGTTAACGCAGCCGGCAGTTCTCTCCTCGTTAGTTCCCTACAAATTGAGATACAGATGGGATGGGATGGGGCGGGACGGTGTGGGGTGGGATGGCGCGATGCGGTCGGGCGGGCGACCACCGCGCTAAAAGTGCACAGATTCCGCGAGATTTTGCACGGGTTATTGTTTTCGAGTGTGTGCGTAATGGGGTGGGCTTCGTTCTAATTTTCTTGTGTTGAAATTTTGTTGATGTTTTATTCAAAGTTTGATTTTTAAAGGGCTTTTTCAAATGATCATCATTAGTTTTGTTTAATTAAAGATAGTTTTTTTTATTGCTTAGATGGGTGGATGAATTTACAGCCCACCTGGTATCAAGTGGTTACCCATAGACATCTACGAAGTAAATGCGCCACCCACTTTGAAATATAAGTTCGAAGGTCTCAAGTATAGTTACGATGGCTGCCCCACCCTTCAAACCGAAACACATTACTGCTTCACGGCAGAAATAGGCAGGGTGGTGATGCCTACCCGTGCGGATTCACAAGAGGTCCTACCACCGGTAATTCTGAATTTCGAAAATTTATTCATACATTTCGGTTCTTTCAGAGCTTGATGACACGATAATAGAAAGCACTTCATATCAAGTGGACTGTTAGATCATTTGCCTATTAATGTTAAAGTCAGGTTCGATCGACTAGTTCAAAACAGATACTTTAAATTTCTCAAACTTACTGAGAGCATATGAACCTTATACTCGTATGTATGTATATAAGGAGCCACGCCCAACGTGCGCCTAAAAACCGTCCGTCTGCGACTACGAATTTCAGTTTTTGCGTCTTGGCGCTGTGGACCGCGTCATGCATTATGCAATCAACCGTTATTGTTTTGTAGTGCCCGAGCGGGGTGGTGCATTGCTACATTACGCTGTTAGGGTTGGAGCTTTAGATTAATATCGAATATCGTATATCATTCGATAACAATATACGGGAGAGTATGATTGTGTACCACTAAGAGTAGCCGTGAGACAGAGATGTCTTTATATGGGAATATCTCGTAAATGGATTTTCCTCGGTTCAACACTGGATATCTAAAAAGAATGCTTTTAGGCTCCGCACTACAAAATCCATCCTTTTTATATTAGTTTTTTTTATCGCTTTCGATGGCAGACTAGCGTGTCGCCCACCTGATGTTGAGCGATTACCGTGGCTCATAGACAGTAGGTATGCCAGGGATGCAGCCAAGAGACTATCACTAGGTTTCATAATAACATAGAACAGTCAAGGTACCCATGACGGCAGACTTTTTATTTTTTATTTTTTTATTACCTTTGTAGGCAGACGAGCATATGGCCCACCTGATGGTGAGTGGTTACCGTCGCCCATGGACTTCAGCAATGCCAGGGGCAGAGCCAAGCCGCTGCCTACAAAAGATTGAAAAGGCATTCAAGGTTCTACTAGGACCATCACATTTTTAATCATGTTTTTTTTTCTGAGCGTCTTCTAAGATGTCATCCAACAAAACTATTCTGTAAATATGTACTAAAAACCGTAGTATAATGCAATAATAATCCACGAACAAACTTTAAACTTTTTAACTTTAAATATATTCAATAAAAAAATATATGTTTTCTTTGCATAATCACATTCAATTTATATTTGTTACGATAAATAAACCTACAAATCTTCAATGCTAATAATATGTGCACATATATTCTCACAAGACAATATGTTTATGTATAAACGGCTCGTAAATAAGCGACCTTTCGTAATGGATAACATTAATATTTATGTACGTAAATAAATGACCTTTGACCTTTTTTGTTAATAAATATGAACACATATTACAATTTTCAACTATTTTATCTAGTTTTTTTTTTGTGTAAATAAAATATAGGTTTACTGACCTTAAGCACTCTTAAGCCTTTATCCGAAACCACAAACTGAACCTTGGGATAAAAAGGCCAAGATCTCAATTGCTTTAGGATAACGATTGTTCTTCAAACGAAAACATTGTACCATAAAGATACACAAGATAAAAATTTCTCCACCATCTAATTCTGCATTCGCATTGAATATTTTCCCCTTAAACTCCTGTGCATTAACATCGTCAATTTCGCGGTCTCACACAAACCCATCTCAATGTATCCAACCTAATCCTGTTTTCAACTCGAGATTATCACAAAAATACGTCAAAGGTGTTTAAGATCGTTTTTGTTTGCTTTATTTTATACACCGACGCCTCAAACCCCTTAAAAGTTTCCGTAGGCACGATAGTAAGCTACACTACATATTTAAACGACATAAGATTCTGCAGTATCGAAATTGCAATTCAGGTTTTTTTTTATTGCTTAGATGGGTGGACGAGCTCACAGCTCACCTGATGTTAAGTGGTTACTGGAGCCCATAGACATCTACAACGTAAATGCGCCACCGACTTTGAGATATAAGTTCTAAGGTCTCAGTATAGTTACAACGGCTACCCCACCCTTCAAACCGAAACGCATTACTGCTTCACGGCAGAAATAGGCAGGGTGGTGGTACCTACCCGCGGGAATAACAAGATGTCCTACCACCAGTAATTACGCAAATTATAATTTTGCGGGTTTCATTTTTATTACACGATGTTATTCCTTCACCGTGGAAGTCAATCGCGAACAATTATTGAGTACGTATTTCATTACAAAAATTTGGACCCGTCTGAGATTCAAACACCGGCGCATCGCTCAACACGAATGCACTGGACGTCTTATTTTTTAGACCACGACCACTTCGATTATACCCAGCATTATAAAAATAACTAAATAGTAACTTCAAACTTAGGGCACTTGTTTTATGGAAGGTCGAAATCGGGTTGTGCCTCATAGAATTTTCGGTGCAATGGTAACAACTTACCAGCAGGTGAGTTGTAAATTTACAACAGTAAAACATGATACGAATTTCATTGTGAACATTTCAATGACAGAGCGCTATCCATAAGCCGTCTCGGGGGACCGGCGGGAGGGGTGTGTAATAATGTTTCCGCGATCATCTAAGACAGGGTTGGCAAACATTCTATTTCCGTGCAAGTTTTAAAAAGTAAAGTCTCCTGAACGCAGCGTGTACGTCTGGTCACGAGAGCGTGTAAGTGTGACAGCCTGTTTGTAAACAGGTGTGTTTTCATTTGCTTTTATTCATACACGTGTCTATAAACATTTCTTTTTTTCGGGCCGGGGATTAACCTCCTACGAGGTCTCCGCATCTAGAGGGTGCGCGGGGTATGTGGAACTTGACGATCTGCAAGGTGTTGGGAGTAGATCGCGAGCCCAAGAAATTTTAGGGCCCTACCGCACTAAGCGACTCCCCTGCACTCTTACACCCGACGTCCGATCTCCGTCCGGAGTAAGAACACGGTCAGAGTAGGGGGTTCCCGCGGTCAACACTACAACCAGACAATCTATAAACATAAGCTTACCCTATTATAGATTTGAAGTTTTACCGGAGACTATATCCCTATGTGTCCAGATGAATATTTCACGTTGAAGCGCCAATGAGGTTCGCTCTCTTGGCATCAAAAGGACTGTCTCAAAGACTTTTGTAAAATAAATGATGTCTCAACTTTATTACTGTATATAATGGAAAGGTTTTATTTTACAAAGTTTTTTTTTTATTGCTTAGATGGGTGGACGAGCTCACAGTCCTCTTGGTGTTAAGGGGTTACTGGAGCCCATAGACATCTACAACGTAAATGTGCCACCCACCTTGAGATATACGTTCTAAGATCTCAGTATAGTTACAACGGCTGTCCTATACCCTTCAAACCGAAACGCGTTACTGCTTCACGGCAGAAATAGGAAGGGCGGTAGTACCTACCCGCGCGGACTTACAACAGTTCCTACATTGTTTTCTAATCTTTTTTGTATTTTAGACATTAAATAGGTATGAAACCTCCCCTTAATGGCAAAAAAAACTCTTAACGATTAAAAAACGCGAATAATGTCACTAAATTGTGTAAAAAGCTACAAGTCTTTAAAAGTACAATAGGATTCTCGTTCGCAGTGAGCAACGGCGCGCTCAGCGCATGCGCGGTGCAGTCCGGCGGGATGGATAAGGACGGCAAAAAAAAACACACCAGACCCACCTTCAGTGGACAGCAGATATTCGCGCTGGAGAAGACCTTCGAACAGACCAAGTACCTCGCGGGCCCCGAGCGAGCGAAGCTGGCGTACGCGCTGGGCATGACGGAGTCACAGGTTAAGGTAAGGCTCTCATATGTACATACATACTTACAGGTGGTATATCGGTCGGTTCTCGCGAGGCGTTGATGTGACAGGAAGAATCGCTTAATCTCGCCTTTGTTTTTATAATTATATTTAATGTTTCAAGTTTTACTGATGCTAGGAAATCTTTTGAGTCCGCACGGGTGGGTACCACCACCCTGCCTATTTCTGCCGTGAAGCAGTAATGCGTTTCGGTTTGATGGGTGGGGAGCGATGTGCTATAGAAGTTGTAAAACTTCACCTTTGCATTAGGCGCATTCAGCAGGTAGCACTAGGAGCAGGTTTAGGAACCCCGGAAACCGTACTCGTCGAACTCGACAAAGAGGTCGATATGCAACCTAACCTATGCATCAGCTCGCTGAGTTTCTCGCCGGATCTTCTTAGCGGTTCGCGATTCCGATCCGGTAGTAGATTCATTCGTGAAGCAGTTGCTCTTGAGTTGTTAGGTCCCTTTCAAAGGCGCTCGGGCAGTTGTTAGCAAATCCCACCCCTTCTGGATGAGCTTTTGCTTGCCCACCTGTCCTGGTGAAGCTGGAAAGGCCACCGGGCCACCAGTAATCTTACAATCATAAAAAAAACTTACTACCTATGTATCAAGGCGACATTTAGGTTGCTGATGCCTCTAGAAAGCCTCTGATGGCTCCGATAGCCGCTAGAAGTAGATGCCCGTGGACCTATACATCCTCACAGGTCACGTCCTGGAAGCCCAGCACCGTTCTGTGTGCCCGTGAACCTCTTGAATCGGAGTCGCGTATGTCCCCGCCGTCCGCGTGAGCTAAAAGAGCCAATACATTACAATAGTACTGCGTAATCCGATTATATAAATTGAAAAGTCAATCACTTAGTCGGTCGAATCAAACGCTGTCTATTACGAAGGATTAAAAGCGACATGTGGACGCATCGACTCACTCCTGTTTCATTATAACGTTTTCTAGTACATTGTGTGAGGCATTCATTCCGTTGATTGCTTCGATAAGGTTTCGGTTCTTGTGGCGTTACGCGGTAAACTAATTTACGAAATTTATATAAAAAAACTCTTTTAAACTTGTGCATTAACCGTTATTATTTTAAGCCTTTAATATGAACTTAGATTTCCATTTGAGCATCGGTTTTCTAAACTTAAGTTTGGTTGATGATTAAAGAGTTTTTTTGTCTGAATAAAAATCTATTGTGGTAAATCAGTTTATGAAAGAAAGACAGAAAGAAAGAAGAAAGAAATATGAATATGAAATAAGAATATGAAAAATTATAATATATAACTTTCAAATATAAAAAAATATATAAAACTAAACGAGAATAATTCATCAGTTACGTTAAGTTGACTAGTCTCGATCACTACTAGTTTTAGTACTAACTAACTAACTAACTAACTAAATAAAGTATTATTACAATGGAACCTCCACACTATATCCTTACTTTTAGGTACCTATAATAAAATTAAGTGTATTCAACGTCTAAAATACAAAACAATGGAGCCTTAACAATAAAATTAATATAAACATTAAAATAAGAATTTCAAATGAGAATTTTAATGTCAATTTACTAACCATAAGATCTACCATTACTAAATAATGCATTCAAATTGTATTTAGAAAAGTCTAAAGGGTTGGAGAGTTTTATTTTTGCGGATTTTGATTTTTATTACACGATGCTACTCCTTCAACGTGGAAGTCAATCGTAAACAATTGTTAGGTACGTATTTCATTAGGAAAATTGGTACCCGCCTGCGGGATTCGAACACCGGTGCATCGCTAGATACAAATTCACCAGACGTGTTATCTTTTAGACAACGACGAATTTTAATTTCAATTTACTAACCACAAGATCTACAATTACAAATAATTACATACAAAATTTATTAATATAAAAGTATAAAGAGACAAGAAAACAGGGCACGATATTACAAATGTCACACATAATATACGACTTTATGCTTCTGAAAGCGCAGCAATCAATCCGGCGCTCCCCATTAAAACGACTACTGATACAGCTAAACACGTTATACGATTTTTCAATTAAACTAAACACATAAAATAAGCGAAAAGGGCCCACTGTCATAGCGTACTAATTAGAGGGATAGGTCGACGGAGGGCGCGGGCGAGGGTCCGTGGGGGATGCCCGCGACGCCGCCCTGACTGCGGTCACGCCGTTAGATGGATTTAAAGATTGAATTTTTTGCGAATTTACTACATCAATAGTTGTATTTTTTTTATTGCTTAGATGGGTGGACGAGCTCACAGACCATATTAAGTGGTTACTGAAGCCCATAGACATCTACAACGTAAATGCGTCACCCACCTTGAGATATAAGTTCTAAGGTCTCAGTATAGTTACAACGGCTGCCCCACCCGTCAAGCCGAAACGCATTACTGCTTCACGGCAGAAATAGACGGGGTGGTGTTACCTACCCGTGCGGACTCATAAGAGCTCCTACCACCAGTGAAAGTGTATGCTTTATTTGCGATGATAAGAATTGTGATTAAATTTTTCAATAGCTCCTTAGCATTCTATAATTCAAAAATATGTTCACTTTCTACGTAAATGAATTGGGGGGTAAAATTTAGCGTTATGCCAAAGTAACTATTCCACGCGAACAAAAGCTAGTTTCATTATATTCTTATCAAATACGTCCTGTTTATCCTTAACTAGTCCGTCTACATACACATTAGGTATAAAAATATAAGCGTGTGCATTTCTTTCGTAACGATTTTACGGTTATCCCGAGCTGCTGACGCTTCATATTTACGAAGTCACAAATACAAGTCGTTCAACTGTCAGCCGATATTTTGCGTCCATTAATAACATTTCGTACGCTTCATTTGCGCGTATCGCTCGACATTCTGTCGTGTGTGATTTTTGGCTCGCTGTACAGTGGGACACAATGAAATTGCTCGCTTTTGATGTGAAACATCTATAGCCGCACGTAAAACCGATTTCTGGCATGGCGACGCATGCCGTGGCGACGCGTCGCCATGCGCAATCGACTGTGCGATTCTCTCCCACTCCATCCGGCGTTAAGCCATCTCTCTCGCTACACTGAGCTCGGATACCTATAGTGTATACTCCGTAGTGTACACAGTGTTGTTTACTACTATACACATAACCTGTGTTTTACTTGAAAACAAATTATTTTTTCGTAATATTTTATTTTATCATTATGACTTAGTTCCTATCACAATCTGTTCTTTTCTGCATATTACTTTTACAAAATAATGTCGATGTTTCACATCTGCCAGGCGTCCCGTGACGGCTCACATTTTTTGTATTAAAACATGTAATTCTCTCAATCAGTACGAGTACAATTTATCACAGTCAGTAATTTGAATGTTAAGTTCATTGACGGTCACAAAAATATGTGTGGTGTCGTGGGATACCGGATAGGAACGAAGTTCCTTATTATAAAATATTAATTTTAAGTTTTATTCGAGGTATGAAGAAAATAATTATTCGGGTATACATTTTTATTATGATTTTTTTATTGATAAAAAAAACACTTTTCCAAAGTTATCAACTTTATTTTATTCACAATGATTTATAAAAAATATATAACAATAATATACAAAGAAACAGCTATTTATATGAATAATAATAATAACCGTCATCACGTAGACTATACATTAGACACTGTATAGCCATCATACGGAGACTATACAAAAATAATAAAAATCTTACGTTACGGACGTTTTTTCCCGGTTAAGGTATCCCTCCGCATCGTCCCATAAGGAACTTCGTTCCAAAAAACAAAATTGTTATTTAAAAAGAATCGCAATGTATTAGTTGATGAATACTAAACACGTATATAGGTAGGTATACTAATTTTGAAAAACCTGACTTATTTGCAAATTTTTTCCATTTGACTTCATACAGAGGAGAGCCGTTCGGATTGTCGATAATCCCATTCTCACGTATCGTTTGGAACCTCTGGGTCTGCGGAGGGACTACGGTTCCCTCTGTATTTTGTAGTGTATGTTCCATGGGGAGTGCTCTGAGGAATTGTTCGAGATGATACCGGCATCTCGTTTTTACCATCGCACCGCCCGCCACCGGAGTAGAGTTAACCCATACTACCTGGAGCCACTGCGGTCATCCACAGTGCGTTTCCAGAGGTCTTTTTTGCCACGTACCATCCGGCTATGGAATGAGCTCCCCTCCACGGTGTTTCCCGAGCGCTATGACATGTCCTTCTTCAAACGAGGCTTGTAGAGAGTATTAAGCGGTAGGCAGCGGCTTGGCTCTGTCCCTGGCATTGCTGTAGTCCATGGGCGACGGTAACTATTCACCATTAGGTGGGCCGTATGCTCGTCTACCTACAAGGACAATAAAAAAAATATATATATATATATTTAATCACGACGGAAAGCAACAATAAAATCGCTCAGCAATCGCTACCTCTATGCGCGGCCTAACTAATTCCCGTTAACGGAACATTTTAGTGTAATACAATTTCGACCCCAACATTAAACAGATCTCTTGTGACGTATAAACGTTCTCTAGGGGTGGCTGTTATTGAATAAATAGGTTACATCTTCAGAATCACTCAACTGCAAACTCCTTTCATAGAGTCGTATTTGTATTGTGAGCGCTCACGTATTTTAAGTACAGGATTCAATCTGAGATTTTTACTGAAATTTATGTTTTTTTTTTGGTTTTTTTTTATCGTAGAAAAAATCATGTTTTCATTATCACCTTTAAGCACAAGGAAAAGTGTTATGTTTGTTTTAACATTTATTCACCTGAGAATCTTATTTTTTGGCTTTACATAATTGAGATTTCGACTCATCCCTTCGTGTCTAACAGATTGTGAGACCTTTCACGTTGACTTGGCAATTTACAATTGTTTTGATGATTTTAATGTTAAACTCCATTTTACGCTACCTATCTGGAATTTTCTCCAATATTGTGGGCTGAACATATCCTTCCTTGTCATATCACTCCTGTCAGAGCGGTCGTGGTTGTCACTCAGTATCATTGCTCTGGGA